CGATGTGTGTCACACAAACGCCACTCCCATATTTTTCCACAATTTCCTTCTTTTCTATTATGATTGCTTTCTTTCCTTTCCTTCCTTATCTTCTTTTCTAGTTTTATTGGGGCCATTATGATAGCAGTAATCATAGTGATTATATAAAGCACTGACTGAAATCACATCCACAGACACACATCTGAGCCCAGACTAATGCTTACATACACCTGTGTACTCTTTTCTGGCATCTTGACTCTTTGTATACAACCATACAAGCAGCTTGCACGTGGGTCGTAACTCCAGACTTCGGTTGTAAGTTAATCCTGAAATTCCCTATCGTAACCCAGGTTGTTTGTATGTGAGGCGAGTGGTAACTTGAGGGTCCACTGTGCAGTAGTTTATATTATTTACAAAGAGGTAATAGTATCCAAGATGTCCATAGAAGGCTTTTAAAAATAGTATTGTACATATTTGCTTTTGTATCAAGCAAATCTAGCTGAAGGGGTGATTCTAGGTACATTTGGGGTATAAAAGGTGAATAAAATACAGACAACGCTCAAGAGACTTCATTTATAAATGAGGTTTTAAAAACAGGCATATAATGGCTAGTGTAAGATAAAAGTTGCAAGTGACATTTCAGACATAGAAATAAAATCTTCTGTAAGTCCAATAAGGGAAAGTTCACATCCAACAAATAGGAAAAATTCATAGGTCTTCGTGAAGGTAATTGGCACTATCGACCTCAGGAATAGGTACAGAGTAGACAGTGGTTTTCTGTTCACTAAGGAAAACAAATAACCTTTGCAGTCTGATCATTTCCTCTCTGTGCTCTCAGGGTAATTCTTTGTGTTGGATTTTTTGCTTTTTCTTAAGCTTTCTCAAGGCTTAAAGTTTTTTGGTTTTTTGTCTTTTGAGACAGGATCTCATGCAGTTCAGGGTGGCCTTGAGCTCACTTGGTAGCCCAGTCTAGCCTCAAACTTGGAACGATCCTCCTGTCGAGGCTTAAAGTTTAATTTGAGGATTATGATCAGTAATAGTTCCTACTTGTTTTTTTGGTACCAGAAATCAAACTCAGGACCTTGCACTTGTACCACTGGTCTATATCCCCGGCCCTCCTACTTGTGACAGCTGAGAGTTTGCTGAACAAGACCTGACTGATCTTCCCTTCAGGGAAGTTGGTATGTTTGAGTATGGGAGACTTGAACATATTTGTCTACTGAGGAAAAGGATTCAGTGAAAAGAGAAGTAACAAAGATGCAAGCAAAGGAGTTGACAGATCTCAGAATTCGTAGAAAGGGATAGCTTGGAGTAAAAAAGGGATACTTCTTCAGGATATTCGTAAATAAAGGACAAACCTACATGGACATGAGGCCAGCTAGTACTTTTAACCACTACATAATATTATACAGTTCAGTAAGAATCTCTAGAGCTTTGAGGCTTGAACATCAGCCTTGTGATTTTGTTTGTTTAATAAAGAGTGAAAATTGAGAAATGATTTGGTATGGAAATGCCTTCATATGGAATGGCAGGGGAAGGCCCCTGTAATCGTGAAAAGCCAATTGTGGAATCTGTGTAGGGAGAAGGGAGAGGATGAGTGAAGGACTTGCATGTTCTGGATAAAAAGTGACAGACTATGGTAGGAGATGGATTTTTCCCCTCTCCAGTTCACATTCAGTCTTGCCAGAAATGGTCACAGAATAATTATTTTTTAAAAAACTAGTTTGTTGCTTTTTAATTCTTTTAAGAAATTACTAACAGCAATGCAAGAATAACCATATGAAAGGGATTCCTGGGATGGAGGTGATATCTAGTGACAGAGCATACGCTTGGTATCCACAAGGCCCTAGGATGTTCAGTTCCCAGCAGTGAATCAGTGAATGTGAATGAATGAATTCCCCAAGCTTTTAAAAAGAGAGGGCTTTGAAGTATCTCAGCATTTACTGAGACTTTTTGTTCTCCTTCTGTTTAGTTATGTGAGTAGAAAACAAAATATGTCCTTTGTACTTATTCTTTGCTGATCCTTCTCTTGCAGTGGCTTTAAATACCATCTTGCTGACCAGTTTCAAATCCATGTCTTCATGCTGAACTTCCTTTCTAAAATGTAGGCTCTTCTATCACCAGTTGCCTACTCAGCTTTGCCACTTGGTTGCCTAATTGACTAAAGCACTGAAGATTAGAAGAGGAGGGCATGGAATTCATGCAGACACCTCAAGGAGAATTGATGAGATTGGCGAACTTTTTTAGAGGCAGATGCTGAAAAAGGGAAGAATTGGGAATTATTCTGAGTTTCCTGTTGGGGTAGCCCATTGGGAAGCACTTCTGGAGATTAGGAAATACTGCTGGCCGTGCGGGGGGAGAGCTGCGTTTTGTGTCTTGTATAGAGTGAAGTAAAAGTTGGTTGGGAGGGTAATGGGCAGAATGAAAAAGAATGGATTAGGTTTTGGAAGTTTGTGTTTCAAGCCTGACAGAATTAAGGTAGAAGTGTTTCATGGTCAGTTGGAAATACACTTGATCTTAGCCAAAAGGCTGAGAAGTGATGGTCAGTTGGAAATAATTGGAAAGAAGGTGGTGGATGGAGAGATGGATTTGATAATCACTAATTGGTAGAAGCAGGTCGATGCTTTGGGACTGTATTGGTTCTTTCAGGTTTTAACAAAAGGAAGGAAAAAAGGTAAACAAAGTAGTAGTAAAGGAAACCTCCAGTGCATCAGGGTTGTATGGAAGGAGAGAAGCAGTTGTCACGGAATGAAGTTACAGCCTGACAAAGCCAGAAGAAACTGTTCTCAAAGAGATTGTAGACTAAGAAATGACGTAGATTTGGTTAGGGGCACAAATAGATCCTGTTCATGAATCATAAGATGAAGACTGAGAGGGGAAAAAAGACATGGTATTCAGCAGTTCAAAAAGTATTGGTGAATGTAAGCCCTATACTCTAAGAATTTGTAAATAAGTTTATCAGGAATTAAAATAGTAAAAGTCAACAAATACTAAATAAGGTATGCAGTCTTTAAAGATAACCAAACCTACAAAGGCCCTATAGATTTGTAAGTAAGGAGATACACAGAGAAACACCACAATGACACTTGTGTGTATTCTCTGCATTGAAATAATAATTACCTGAAAGAAGACTATAGAATCTTGAAAGTAAAGAACCAAAAAAAGACATTTTCTGTGTTTAACCAACTCTTAGAATAAGATTAATCTCACTAGAGTAGTGTATGTTGGGAAGTAGGAAAGCGTGTTCAGGCTCTTTTGTCAGTTAGATGATTACCAGACTCTTAGATGATTCTTGAGGTCCCTCAAATCATGTGATTTCTAACTATAATTTTTTTGGTATGTGATACGGAAAAATTAAAGATATTTTCTTTCACTCTGAGTTTTCTACACAGAAGCATTTCTTTTTATACATTTGGTACCAATTCTTTTAACTTAGAAAAAAAAAATCCCTTTTGTCTTCTGAAAGACCATTGAAGAGTTTAAAAAAATAGAATACGTTTGAATTGGAGCCTTTTGTAATGTAAAAAAGTAAAGAAAGCTTAAGATTGTATGTTTCCAAATTTCAGTTTATTTTCAGTTAGCTAGAATTTGTAAACATTCATGAAACTTTGAACATATAAAGTATTTCCTAAAACAGAAGCATAAATACAGGTTTCTTTGATTTGTACTTGTCATTTTGACAATCTGTAGTGTTTGAGACTGCCGCCATTCAGCAAAATTAAGGAAGACAAGTAACAGAATATTTATAGCCTCTTTCTTCATTGAGTTCATAATTTTAAAGACTTTAAGCAGCCTAGTTTACATATCTCTTCTTCAGAAAGACTCTCATCAGTTATGGCGGTTCATGCCTGTAATGCCAGCCCTTGGGAGGATGAGGCAGGAGGATCGCAGTGAGTTCAGGACCAGCCTCAGCTACATGAACTCAAGTGAACTCAAGGCCAGCCTTATCTACACAGCGAGAGCCTGTCTCAAGAAGGAAGGGAGGAAAGAAGGAAGGATAGACCTTTTCTATCCCTTCAGTGCAAATTAAATCTGTGTTGTTACTCTTTCTTTCAAATTACAGTTACTCCAATTATTTCTGATTATAATATCATTATACATACATGCTTTTGGTACTGGGAATCGAACTGAGGACCTTGTGCTTGCCGGGCAGGCCCTTGTGCCACTGAGCTATATCCCTGGCCCAATATGATTATATACTCTTAAATTTGTAGAACTGCAGGATGCTGTTGGACATACTTAGTCTAGTGCGAGGATGAGAAAATGTTTTTAGAGAATCTGAAAATAGGAAGAAAGTGTGTTATTCAGTATCCAGTTTCAGCCAGGCATGGTGGTGCATGCCTGTAATCCCAGCATTTGGGAGGCTGAGGCAGGAGGATCGATGCAAGTTCAAGACCAGCCTGGGCTACAAAGTGAGCTCAAGACCAGCCTAAACTGCATAGTGAGACCCTGTCTCAAAAAGACCCCCCAAAAAATCCAGTTTCCCTAGAGGGCAAGTAGGATGAATATAGAAAATCTTTCTTTAAATTTAGGAATGTAGAAGTTATGCATGATCTTAATAAGGTCAGTTTTAATAGAGTGAAGGAATGCAATTCAGATTACAGTTGCTTGTGAAACAAATCAGCAAGAAAACAAAGCAGGTGGCATATTTCAGAAAAGTAGATCCCAGACACTCACTGCTGGCTTGTTTATAGCAATGTATGATAAACTTTAAAAAGAGTAAATTAGTATACTTTAAATATTTTCACTGTTACACATGCACTGCATAGGAACCATTGCATGGTAATGTGTGGAGAAGGTACTAGAAGGACCTAAGTAGTGTCTTCTAGGGGTTCAGAAGCCACATTCGTATTTCCCATGGAAAAGTGTGAATACAAAAGGATACTGCAAAAGTTAGTCCTGAAAAATCACAGTAGACTCCTCACAGTAACGGAAACTTTTGCTGCCATTTTTCTGTGTGCTTTTGTAAAGTGTTTGATTTTTCTGAGTTTTGTCTCTTACTTTTTTCTTTTAACTTTCAGGTGTTGGTAAATCATGTTTATTGCTACAGTTCACTGACAAGAGGTTTCAGCCAGTACATGACCTCACTATTGGTAAGTTTTATATGAGAGATAAGCATTAAAATTTTTGAATAATTTTAATGTGAAATGCTTGCAGGTCCATTTCATGAATGATGACTTCAGAATCAGTGAAACTAGATTGATTGTTGTTCAGAGTTTAGTCTCCATAACTTGTTTAGAAATGTGTGTAATACAAACAAGTATTACCCAACTTTGCACAAATAGAATGCAGGAGACATTAACATTTAAAATTTCATTTGTATTTAATGATAAAACAAACAGTTTGGAGAAATGTCATCAAAATAGGAGCAAAGATTCTGGACCAGCTTCCTGGAAGTAAAATGAGGCTTATGCCTCTATCTGGGTGAGCCAGTTCACCACTCCATGTCTCAGTTTCTCTATCTGTACAGTGGGAATAATACTAGCATCAACCCTAGAAAATTACTATGAGCAGAAATGAATAATAAATGCAAAGCATTGGAATAGCACTTGGAAACATGCCAGATGCAATGGACTTGCCTGTAATTATTAATTTTTTTAAAGAAGCTATAGTCCATCAGGCAATTATAAACAGTAAATGAGATAATTACTAGTAAAATTTCAATAAGTGTTAAAACCATTATTCAAAATAGTGTATTACTCATGTTTATTAGTATGCAAAGATATCAAAATCCATACTGGTCCAGGGTAGTCATACTGACTGGTTCAGGGCTCTTGTTTGTTTAAAATTGTATTTTATTCTGAAAGCTAAGAAATCCAACTGGATGATTATTCTATGGCTATAGCACATTAACAACTAGGAATTAATCAAATATGAAGAAAAAGGCTAATTGGAAATCTGGCTACTCTTTACAACTAATTGCTTAATCAATCTTCAGTGTCCTCTTATTTTCTGTTGCTGTTATTAACTTAGCATTTATAGTTATTTTATGTGCATTTTTAAAATACCAGGTGAAAGTAGAGCTTATTAATTATATTTTTAGATCATTTAATAGTTTTGACCAAGCCAACATTATTTTATAGATGTATTAAAATTTTTTTTTTTTCTTTTGAGTGAGAGTCTCACTGTGTAGTTCAGGGTGGCCTGGAACTCACCTTGTAGCCTATGCCAGCCTTGAACTCCCAGTAATCCTCCTGCCTCAGCCTCTCAAGGGCTGAGATTATAGGTGTGTGCCACCATACCCAGCCTGAAACCTTTTATTAAGAAATACTATCAATAAGAATATGAATATACTATTTTAATTTTGACAGTTTTGAAAATATACAGTAATGATTTGTAAAATGTGTAGTACTGTTTCATACTGTTCCTCATGACTTTAACTCTATGAGAGTTTCTGTTTGTTTGTTTTTGGTGGGGGTTTTTGTTTATTTTAGCTGTTGATACTGGTGATTGAACCCTGGCCTGCTCTGCCACTCAGCTACATTCCCAGTCCTTTTTGCTTTTTGATACAGGGTCTTACTAAGTTCCCCAGATTGACCTCCAACTTGCGATCTTCCTGCCTCACCGCTGTAGTAGCTGGAATCACAGATGTGTGCCACTGTGCCCAATTTGTGAGCTCATTTTTTGTATAGTATCTCCTCTTTGCTCAATAGCTTAGAAACCTCAGTTGCTAATTTAGGCATGACTCAGTCTTAAGACAACTAACCAAGGAGTTGTTTTTAATGTAGGGTGCTAAATGAAGCTATTCTTTCATATAGGATGTGTCTTGGTTACTTTTCTCTCTTTGCTGAGACAAAATACCTGACACACAGAATTAAGGAAGGAAAGGTTTATGTAGCTCACCGTTTGTGGAGGTTTCAGTCTGTACTTGGCTGTCTCCAAGGCAGACTGGCACGTGGCAGAGGGCAACAGTTCATGGCTGCGGAAAACAACAAAAGGAGCAAGAGCAAAACAGAAGGAGCAGCCGCTAGCAGCCTCTTTCCCTCCCTTACATTGCATGCAAACTACCCGCTCCAGGGTGGGTGTAGCACTCGCATCCATAATTCCAACATTGGACCATGAATCAGTCATAAACCCTAGAAGTCAGCCCCATGACTGCTGGAGGCTTTGGGGGGACATTCAGACACAGACCATAGCAGGATGCTAAATAAAAGTGTTCTTCCTTTCATTGAAGCTTGCATATAAATTTCTAAGCTGTTACAACACACTCGGTGGAGAGGGTGAGGCTGAGCCTGCTGTTGGAAATTGGCATGGTCTGTACTTAGGAAGACAGAAAAGGGAACAGACCAAAGAGAGTTGTTTGGAATACTGTAACACATGTAGTCGCCAGCTGGCTTTGTTCTAAGTTGGCTGGTGGCAGACACTAAGAAATAGAAGGCTAAGTGAAAAGTGAAGCCAAGGATCTATAACCAGTTCACTGTATCAAATCCTGTGCTTCTTCACATGCTTGCGTGTGACTTATGCCTTTCTAGTTGGCCCCGCTTGGGATACCTTCTCCCTTAAAACTCTTACACTGGTTTGTAAATAGTAAAGTTCATTTAACTCAGCTTAAGCAAAAGGAGAACTTAAGTGTGTGCTGCAGAAACTGAGAAAAGTAGGGAGCAGGGTGTGCAGCCTAGAATCACAGCGTAGGGCTCTTAAGGAGAAAAATGCAGGAAGTTTTTTGTCTGTGCCATGTACTTCCCTCATTGTCTCTCGTGTTTTCCTCATGCCCTCTTCACTTTCTCTCTCCCTCGTAAGCAGTGTTTTTTCCCGCGTACATGGTGGGAAACCGCGATCCAGAGGTCCAGGGCTCATGTTTTGTCCAGGAAAGCAGGGATAACTTGAGATTTTTTGTTTGTGTGTTTTTTGGAAACATGGCTTCACTCTGTAGTCCTTGTAGGCCTTGAACTTTCTCTGAGGCCCATGTGGCCTCAAACTTGTGACCCTCTTGCTTTAGCCTCCTAGCTAGAATTACAGGCGTGTGCCAACAAACCTAGCTAAAGCAAAAGTTGTTTGTTTGTTTTTGAGTGACAAGGTCCTGCTACTTAGCTCAGGATTGTAGCCCAAGCTAGCCTCAAACTTACGACAGTTCTGCCTTAGCCTCCCAAGTGCTGGGATTACAGTTGTGCGCCACTATGCCCAGAAAGCAAAAGTTGTTTTTTCGTTGGTTTTTTTTTTTTTTTTTAACGGAATTGGCACTATTTCCTTGGAAAGAGAGTTCATTACCTTAACTTGGTTCAGGGCTACTTACCCCTTATTTTATCAGCTATGACCACGAGTTCAGAAATTCAGTATCACGTGGTTACCAAACCCATAGCAGTGGATGGTTGTTTGGGTAAGTAGTCATATATAGCTGCCACCATAATTCCCCATCACAAGATGGAGGCAGATCCTGGAGTGCGTAGCCACAAGCTAAAAGAACTCCTCCAGTCCCGAGAGCCTGGAAGGAGCATGGACAAAATCTCCCTGGAAGCACGGCCCTGCCACTACCTTGACTTCAGACTTTCAGCTTCTAGCTGGTCATTGTGTCCTCAGCTTATCTATATTATAATGGTCAATTTTCTACCCTGTTTATGAACCACTGGCTCCTAAGTTCATGATTCTTGTCAGTCCATCTTCACCATTTCCATCTGGCTTTCCTGTAAAGATAGCATATGTCATCAGCTCTTGGCCACTGGCTTTTCCGTGAATACTCAGTGCTTTTGCAAACCCTCAAACTGTTTTGCTCAGGATATGCATTGCTTGACATCTCTGCTTATTGAAGTTCTCTTCTGGACAACTGTGCATGTCCTAAATTTTACCCTCATCTTACAGGAAATGAGATCTGTATACCCATGCTTGTGAAGGGTTATTGACTGGCAAGGAAACCAAAAGAATTTTAAATGCTGGAAATGGACAAGATTTTTTTTTTTTGTCTTTTTGAGACAGGATCTCGCTATGCAGTTCAGGCAGGACTTGAACTCATTTTGAAGCCCAGGCTGGTCTTGAACTCACAACGATCCTCCTGCCTCAGCCTCCCAAGTGCTGGGATTACAGGCGTGTGCAACCACGCCCGGCCCCAAAATTTTTTAAATGCTAGTAATAGGCAAAGTAAAGTGACTGTGTAGGCACTAAGTTTCAATATGATGCAGGCACCAACTCAGGTGTTAAGTAGTGGTGTCCATAGTAGGTCATGCTTTGAAGGCACTTTACTTGTGATCAGGACCATTTGTCCTTAAAAGACAGTCTTATGGAGAATGAATATACAAATACACACAGTTCCTTTTTTTTTTTTTTTTTTTTTTTGAGACAGTCTCTCTGTGTAGTTCAGGCTTGCCTCAAACTCCTCAGTGATTTTTCCAGCCTCAGCCTCCCAAGTGCTGGGATTACAGGCATGCACCACCACGCCCAGCCACATTTCCATCTTTTACCTGCCTTATGTTCAAGGAAACTGTATCCAGATGTTTTATAATATTTGAGGTAATGACACTTTTTTAAAAAATCCATAAATTCCATTAAAGCAAATAGCTATATGGGATCATAGAACTACTCTCAAAATATTAATAGATTCGCCATTTATTATTGTTTGTGATTTTGTGGTTATTTTTTTGTGTTTTGTCTTTTTGAGACAGGGTCTCACTGTGCAGTTCAGGCTGGCCTTGAGCTCACTTTGTAGCCCAGGCTGGCCTCGAACTCACAATCATCCTCCTGCCTCAGCCTCCTGAATGCTGCACCACCACACCTGGCTGGTTTTGTTTCTGAAGAGCATTTTCTAAATGCTGACCCAGGTGTTCTTCCCGCTATGCCTTCGTGCCCTTAGAGCTTACATGGAGTTACATACGCAGTGTACTAAGAGTATATTTAGTACAGCCATTGATTCAGTCAAGCTAAATGCTGGCCAGTAGAAGCAAAAAGTATTGTTCTTTATTGATTCTGCTGCTGCACAAGGCCCACCCAACATTTTTGACACCCATCATAACAATTTATGTTTCTGACATAAAAACACTTAGCAGATCAGCACATATTTCCAAAAGGAGTAGTAGAGTGTTTACTAAGACAGGCATGTGGCAGCATCTTGATGCTGCTACGTATGTGCCTGTGCCTGATGAATAAATGGTGAAAAGTTTAAGGTTGGGGCATAATTAAGAGAGTATAAAATGATAGAGAAAAAAATAAAAGATGATAAAATGTTAAGAGGTCTCTAAACTATTCACTATCCTATGACTATCTTGTGAGAACTGTTAAGATATAAATCAAAGAAACAATGCATAAATACCTTTGTCAGTGTAGTTATATTCAGAGTCCAGACTGGAGGTGTGGGCTAGCAGCCTCGTTTCATGTGGAAGCTTGTTGGAGAATCTGCTGCATCACAGCCTCCGTTTTAGTAAGACCTGGAAACAATTCCTGTGGACAGTAATGTCTGAAAAATATTGGAGCAATAAGTTTTTTAATTTAAATTTTTGCTCTTACCTGTTTGCAGTACATGGTGGTTACCTTCGTTGTGCGGAGCTGCTCCATGGTCGCAACACGTCTTCATTCCTCTTACTGCCCCTTCCCCTTCTGCTCTCCCCCTCCTTCTGTCTTTTGGTCTCTTACTCATTTTGGAGCAGTGAGTTTTGGTTTTAAATACTTGTTCCCCAGTTGGAAAATGTTCTACATTTCTGCCTAGTGTACACATACAAGCACGCATCCACATGTGTCCTGGCTTATTTCCTTTACTTCCACTCCTCCTCTTGCTTCCATCCTGCCTCTGCTACTCACTCCTGTAGTCACAACCAGAACCTTGTCATTGCCAATATCGAACTGTTCCCAAATTTTAATTTCAGATATTGGGCTATTTGACTCTCTCAAACCTTTTTAACTCACTCTGTAGTTCCTGCTGCTTTTTCTTAAACCTCATCAGACCTATAATCCTTTGACCCAACCATCTTGTCTCCCACTCCTCTTCTCTTACTTACTCTGTGCTTACTACTTTATAGTTCTAACTTCTGTGTTATTGTAATCATTACTGCCTATAGCAGAGTCCCCTCGTGTCTCTCTTGCTCCATCTCCCTTGCTTCATCACACTCTTGTGGCTGAGCTGTAGGTCAAATGCCGCTGTGTACTGCGTGCTTGCACATACAGAACTGGGCTTACTGGAGAAAAAACACAAGACCGTACCATCTCATCTTATTTTAATTTCTTGAACACTAACTTCAGGTGAACTTGTAGTACTGCATGATAATTGCAGTACTTCTCTAGTCCCATCACTTTACTTTCCCATAGAACTATATGCTACATTTGTACTTTCTAAACATGAGCACCTTCCCTGTTTCCACTGAGTTGATAACCTTGGCTTCTGTTTCACTCAGAAAATAGTTTGAGCTTTTTCATAGTTCCTGCCACCACATAGACATACCTGTCCGCATTGTCCTAATAAAGCCTTGTCCTTCCCTTTTAAGGGAGCTCTTGAGCTCCAGCCATGGTGTACTCTTAAAGATACTACTTTACCAGCTAGCTCTGTTTGCTCCAGGCATCATCATTTTTTTCCCATGTTCAGTTTCTTTCCACCCAGTTAACCCCTTCCCCACTGTGCGCGTATCTAGCTGCCTGTTCAGCATCTCTTGAATATTCAGTAGACATCTCAAATTTAACATGTCTCAAATAATTCCCCCACCAGCATTCTGAAGTTACATATTTTTTCACTCTTGTCTCTACTGTAGCTTATTAATCTTTTTACAGTTCCTCTATCAGAAAAGCAAAAAAATGATTATAGTCTTCTCCTTTTCTTAAATTTTAGGGAATGAGCATTACTTCTTAGATGTTTGACCCTTATACTGCTAGGTTTTATTTATTTTTAGTCAAAGTCAGTGATCTTTTTCCTTAGCTAATACCTCTTAGTTGTGTTTGGATAGTTTGTGACAAAATCTTTGTGGTAATTTCAGGTTGAAATTATTTATACTATTTTTTCAGTGTAATTTGAATTCCTCTAATGTTTAACTGTAAAATACAATGTTTGCTATTTTATTTTTTAAAGGAAATTAAGGGTATTACCTTTTATACCTAGTTTTCCTTTGATTTCTAAAATTAGGAAAAATCAAGGCTTTTGCTCACAGGTCCACAGGTCTCCATTTTGAACCTCTGCAGTGTCTAGGTAACAAAAATAGGGGGTAGGAACATATATATTCCCATCCTGGTAGAAGGGAAGCTGGGCATGGCTCGTTGCTTGATAACAGCTCTGCTGTGCTCTTTGGCATCATCACCTTGTAGCCTAGCAGCCTAGAGTTTCTGGCCTTGACCTTACAAGGAGGCCTGAATGGGCATGGCACAGCCTTCCCTTGGGTAGGATGCCTCTACACATCTTTATGCCTCCACAATCACCTGGCTCTCACAGGTGACCCTTTCTTACTGGAGCTGTCATTAGTTATGTGGATGGTGGTTTATAAATTCATTTCTATGGTATGGAATATAGCAATAGCTAATATACTAGTATTTGGTATGTTTTGGATACTGTTGTATTATATGTGTAATAATCCTTTTAATTTTGGGGGAAAACCTCATGTGAGGGATATCATGAACACCATTTTACAGGTGAGGAATTTAAGATGTAGGAAAGATATAACACTTTCCCACCGGCTTGAACCACTGGTGGTACGTGCATGACTATCCCATCAGATGTCTTCAACCATCAGTGGTTAGCTATTTAACGTCAGACATTGGAGTTCAAATCAGAGCAACCCAGCAGTGAAGTATGGCCTTGATTGTGAGTGTATTAATAACTTGCCCAAGATTACACAACCAGTAGGTATTGATTAAGAGGTCAGTAAATGGCATAATTACTATATGAGAATAATAATAATCTGGAGGCAATTAGCAAATGTATATTTATATTCAGAACAATTGTTCTAGAACATTGGGAGTGAACAACCTGAGAAAAACAAGCATCACTTGCTGAGAATATATGGTAAATGAGATCTTCACTTTGGCTCTACAGATAATTGCTCCAGCAGCCAAAATGAGCATCAGTTGAAAATTTATCTGGAAAACAGACTCGGGGGCACAGGGGCTGGTGTTTTAGCCTGTTGAAAAGAGAGAAGGACATCTTTCTAAACGGGACTTTCAAACATATGTACACTTCAGGAAAAAGGACTTAAAGTGTTAATAATCTTAATGAGAAGTAAGGTTTTAGTCTTTGTTTCTGAGACCTCCAGGACACTTTTGGTTTTGGTATTTTCTTTGGCCAGATAGAACATAAAGGTGAAACGTAAGTATTGGACCCAGTTAGGAAAAGTTAAGTGGGATATGGAATATTATGACGTGGTCATAAATCACATTCAATGTCTTCATCCTGCTCAAGATTTCACTTCCACAGAGGGAGCATCTTCTTGCCTTTGTTGCTTTGTTTGCCCACCCTTTATAGCAGGAACATTCGTATGTCTGTGTCTAGTTTGGAGTTGTCTTTGGTCAAATTTGTATTTGTTAGAAAGATGAAATCTTGAGTCCCAGGGAGCAATGCAGAGATTGGATTGTGGTGAAAGTCGGCCCATTCACAGCAGTGGAAAGAAGGATAGGATTTCTCTGTACTCCATTAATACAAGCACTAGGCTCGTGAAAAGGCTTCTGCGTGTCAAATATGCTGACATGTAGAATTTCACGCTTTAGTACATTCCTTTTAAATACTGGCTATTTCAAAAACTGTTGTACCGCACATTACCGTTGTTTTCCTCCCTCAAGTACTTTCGTGTTCACGTCATTATTTAGTGGTTGCTTTGTTTGTATCCCCACCCTATGGCATAGAATAGATATCAATATGTGTATGAATATATGTGTATATTTTTGTACTAAGTAGATATGTAAACATTTTTAGTGGTTTCATGTGGCATAATTTTAGTTTCACACGTTTTGTTCAAGTTCATCATGACCTCTGGGTTTCTCTGGATTTGCTATATTTCTAAGCCTGAGAAACATGAACATCACTATTAGTTTCCTGGGATTGACTGTACCCCTCAGATGGAGTAAGTATCAAAATGAAAAGAAACCGCGTCAAGTTGTATATCATGGGATAACAAATGACCTTTCTATCTCGCTCTCCTAATCACAGTTGGAGGAATGATAGGAGATGCTAAAATGGATTCTGACACTGCACAGTGTAACCTTCCTGAGAAACTAGAAGTTGTTTTTCTGCCAGGATAACTAATATCTGGTTTCTGGAGATCAGATGTGTCTTCCCACCTTGACTCTGAGCTAAATACTGATAAACCATCCACACACTAATGTTTTCGTATAAGTAATAGACTACTTTCAGAGTTGTCTTTCCGTTTGTTTGTTATTCTAAATTTACCTCTTTCTTTCGTTTTGCTGATTGAGTAGTTTCCAAAAAGATGGTAAAGCAGTGAAAAAGGTAAAGAAGTAAACATTTAAGTGTAAAGTCTACATTCCCTTTGACTCACAATCATAATTCCTTTATTTGCCCAAAATTGCAGTAAGTTGAAAAAAATATATGCAGAAAGTTCTTTTCAGCATTAACTATTTAGTGAAAATATGGTGACAACCTATATTTGTAACAATAGAGTACCAGTTAAGTGAATTATGAGCAAAGAAATATTGTGCAGACATTAAAAATGATAGTTTTACATGTTTGTGATGTGAAATGTCTGTGCTGTGTTGTGCAGAACAGCATTACACATTCCCACTTATGTGTACCTACTTATCACGTATAGGCATTCCTGGAATAATATCTGAATTATGTTATTTACTTCTCATTACTAATAATTACGGTTCTTGAATTGCTTTTTTAGTTGTCTTTATGTTATCAAGCCTTTATACAGAAGATCTACTGTTCTCTTTCTTGATGTCCTTAGCATATGTCTTACTAGCACTTCTACATTAACTTACATATTTTGTATATAGCATCTTCATTTTTAAAGGTGATTTGTGTAACACACAACATAGCATATCTTTGGAAGTAGTTTGAATATTTGTCCTTGAATGTGAAATAGATTTCAACTAGTTAGACAGTAAATCATTTTTTGCTCTTTTCAGGTGTAGAGTTCGGTGCTCGAATGATAACAATTGATGGAAAACAGATAAAACTCCAGATCTGGGACACTGTAAGTATAGCACAAGAATATTATATGATCTTTAAAGTTGTTGTATAAAGGTATATTTTATGCTTGTTGTTTAATGTTATTTTATGCCTATTTTAGTTTTTTTGACACTAAAATCCTATAGCCATGAAATAAAATGTGGGTATACACTAGACAACAGCGATTTTTCTTACGCAGTGATTTCAGCAGGTGTGCCCTCAGGTGGTGGGTGTCGGTGGACACACAGGAGTCAGTACATAGGCTATGTTCAATGCAAGTGTCCTGCAAATTGTATTTTTAAGAAAAATAATGAGCAAGTCTACTCTGTACTTATGAAATATAATAAGAATATCTGATTTAAGTCTGATTTAGTCCCAACCACTTGAGACTACCTTGCTCCTAATTCACTATCCTCATTCTACTATTTGCCATGCTGTGTAGTTTTTAATAGTGGCTATTCATCTGAACCACAGAATATAGGTAATGATTCAAGTGACTTTTTTCTCTATTCTGCAATCTTAGATGCATAAAAAATGAAGTTACTTTAGGATATACAATGGATATGCTTTGGGCACGGGGTGGGGGATGTGAGATAGCGTTCTGCTATACCATGCCAGCTGGCCGTGAACTCACTTATGTAGCCCAGGCTGACCTCAAAGTCACTCCTGCCTCAGCCTCCTGAATGTTAGTATTACACGCATATGCCACCATGCCTGGCTACAATAGATACGCTAACACAGCAGATTTCAAACTTTGTAGTTTCAGAATCTCTTTATGCTTACTAAGGACCCCAAAGTGCTTTAGCTTATGTGGCTTACGGATACTGATATTTACTATATCAAAAATTAAAACTGAGAAGTGTAATACATGCTCAGCTGTTAAACTTTTGTTGTTTTTTGCAGTGTTGGGGATGAAACCCAGAGCCTCACACACACTAGTCAGGTACCCTACCAATGAGCTATACCCTCATCCCAGTTCATTTTATAATAACAATAATAAACTTACTAGAGTAAACTATTAGGACAAATACGGCAACTTTTATGGAAATGAAATAAACTAAAGCACGTAAGACTCATTTGTCATGTGTAGTAGCTGCTGTAGGAACAAATTGTGGATAATACCATTCTCACAGACAGGATTTTGAAGACCAATCTAGTCACTGAAAACAGTCATAAAACCTAGGTTTCTGGATACTTCCTGTATGTCCCACAACACTCCCTTCAATGGTAAATCCTGTATCTTTATCTTGCTCTGTCCTTCAATACTCCATTAGGTCCTGTGTTCTTGTGCTTTCTGACCTCCTTGGTGGAGTCACACTTTCACTCTTTGTAGAGTTTCCTTGCTGAACCTATAGCATCTCAAAACTTTTTTGATTTACATTCTTTCAGGCAGCATGATTTCAGAATTACATGGAAATAAGAATAAAGTACACGAAGTTTTTTCTCTCCTACATGTTTAAACTTAAGAATTTATTAGTGCTTCCCTCAAAGTACCTTCCTCAGGCCCTGTGATGGGTAACTTTTTGTTTTTAATCAAAAGCCAATGCCAAATATGTCTACTAGCGTAATTCAGTGAATAAATGTAAGTTGTACCCTGGTAGAAGGAGCACAGAGGAAGTCTGTACTTACTCCCTAGCCACCCTTAACCTGCTCTGTCCTGCATGTACTCATCTTTGACCTTTATTACTCTTTTTGTTTGCCCTCCCAACAGAGTCAAATAAATTTAACAGACACATGCACGCACTCACGCACACACATAATAGGGATGTTTTGAGTAAGCACGTTTATCTGCTCTATTTCCCTATCAAAAATTTTTATTTTAGGTGTACAAATACTTTTGCTATAAAATATTTAAACTATTGCTGTGGTTACTTTGTAAAAGTTCCTTCTCGGCCAATTGCAGACATTTTTATGTCCTTTGAAAAATGTGTCAGTTTATACTCTTGACTTTCTATGAAATAACCAAATATTATTTTGTCTCAACATGTCAGTAAGGATGGATGACCTAACGCACTAGCGCTAGGGAAGGGCCTGGAACAGAGGGCTGGGAGCAGCCCTGCCTCCGTCTCTAGTGTCAGCCTGCGCCCCCGTACCCTCACGGAGAGACCTACAGACCCAGCTGTTACGCTTCCTTTGGCAGCTGTTCATCAGCATTTTTTTGAACAGCTACAGGGACAGGAACTTACAACATTTCCTTCTACACTAACGAATGTTCCCCACCTCTGTCCAAGTATAGTGTCCAACTTAATGCTCAGGCAGTTGACAACTTAATTGGCTACTTAGAATTATTTGCCTTCTCTTTGTTTTTTATCTGTGTTCTGCATAGCTGTAGTTTCTAGATAAATGACAAAGTATTACAATAATGGTGATTCTCACAAATCATAATTTTCTAACTGTTGGCTCTTTGGGATCAATTAAAATAACCTACTTTAGTGCCCACTATAAATATACTTGCTACTCTGATTTCAGCTAGACTTCATCTAAAGAATAAAACACATTTGAGTGTTCATTTTATCTCATCAATGGTGTTAGGATCAAAAGACTCCATGAAAGTGTTTTGTATTTCTGAAAAGAAGAGAATAACTGTGGACTGTAGTAGACAAGTTCCCGATCTTTGTGAAAAAGTTAGGTGTTTGAACTTGTCCTCCAAAGGAAAAGAAATTGGATAGGTGGAAGAAAAAGAGCTTTCAGGCAAGAAGTTAAGAAGAGGCATAAAAGCAGGAATATTCAGACTATATAGTAAATAAGCAAGATTCTACTAGGACTGTAGAAACAAGACATTTATTGAATAAGAAAAAATTCTCTAGAGACAAGTAGAAATCAGATTCTTTTTTTTTTTCTTTTTTTTTTTTTAAAGGTACCGGGGATCGAACTTAGGACCTTCCACTTACCAGGCAGGCACTTATGCCACTGAGCTATATCCCCAGCCCCAATATTGTTACCTTTTTTTTGTTCTGTTTTTTTTTGTCCCAAGAATTGAAGTCAGGACCTTGCACTTGCCAGGCAGACACTTGTGCCAGAAATCAGATTCTCAAGTGTTTAAAATTTTAATTCAAGTGCTTGCTTTGGCAGCACGTATACTAAAATTTTAATTCAAGTTACACAGATTTTTGAGCACTAGCATAATATGTATAATGTTGCATTTTGTGGAGGTCGTAGAGGAAAAGAAGTTAAGATTACTGCCCATTACCAGCCTGGTAAATGCCAAAATTGGTATGAACAGAAAGATCCAGGCATTCAAGAAAACCAGCTTCAGAGAATCTATCTTTGGCCATTAGAAGTATGTTTTGAGTGGTACAATCAAATTTTTTAACAGCCCTCAGATGCAAAGTGAACATCTTATTCACAAGTGTGGCATGGTGCTGATTTTAATGCTAAACAGTACTTCAAACTGTTAAAGCAGACATGGCTGTATTTTACTTTCTGCTTACCTGTATCTTGCTGGGTTTTTTTTTTTTTTTAAGAAATCAATTTGATTGTGATTTGGTAGAAGCTGTGTTCTACTCTGGCCATCTCTAATTCAGGTTTGTCTGTTTTCTGGTGCTATTCACTTGGCCATTCCTTCCTGTTTGATTAAATGGATTTTTAAAAATATCTTCTACTACTATCAGAAATCCCTTATAACCAAGAATTGTGTCTTGTTTTCAAAATCCCTCCTAACTCTTTATAGTGAAGAATCAACTACATGTATATTCCCTGAGTTAACGTTCCTTTTTGCTGTACAATTCAGTCAGAGTGTAGACAGGTATGCATTAAAGTACTTTTTAAAAAACTGGATGGTTATTCCTTTAATATGATTAAGAGAGCTAATTAACCATTGGGCTAGATTTGTTTTTTATGGAAGAAATAAAACAAAATTTCAAAACAAAATAGGATAACAATAGTTAGTACATTGCATATTGTTACCTTCAGAGTAGTTACTCAGTGTACAAGATATGAGCATAAAAAAATTCTCTAAACAAATCTTTGTTTTCAGTGAAGTAGGAGAAACTAATAGTACAACTGTCTTGTATTTTTTTCCCTTTCTTTCCCCTTTCCCCGATCCTATTTCCTCTTTCCTTTTGAACAATTTCTTCCCATTTCATATCTATTGTACATTTTGGATCTTATTTACTCTTTCATTATCTCACACCAGGCAGACAATACAGTGTTTATACATGTGAGTCTGATTTATTTCACGTGTGAGTATGGTCTCAAGTTGCATCTATTTACCTATAAAAATCTCAAGTTTATTCTTCTTTATGGCTGAGTAGTACTTCACTGTATAAAAAGACCACATCTTTTTTATTCATTCCTCAGTTGATGGGCATTTGGGTTGTTCCCAAGATTTAGCTATGACAAATGATGCTGCTATAAACATGGGTGCACACATATCGCTGGGGCCAGATTTATACATTTAGTTTTTATGTGAGCTTATGGAGATGCTGTAATTGTATAGAGAAGGCATATTTATTAGGCATGATCTTTTTCAAGGCTGCCAGTCCCATTAACAGAGAACAGACTAGAATATGTTACAGTTCTCATACAAGTGAGGTCTCAAAAATTTGGAAACTATTTGAATATGGATCTTCATTTATTATAAAATAATTATATTTTAAGATATATACCTGCATGCATAGTCTTTGTTTAGAAAGTGTGATTTTTATTTGCTTGAGTCTTTGTTTGATTTTGTATTAAGAGGCAAAATGTAGATTTCAGTGGATTTAGTATGAAGTATTCATTGTATAAGCTATTTCTGTATTGGAACATGCCTTTTGTTCTTTGCAAAATAACTTGGGGGGAATGGGAATGCTATGTAGAAGCTTGCTTTTCTTCTTTCCCTGTTTATTTTTCCTTTAGACACTGAAGTTTTATGTATAATAGTGCTTTTCCTACATACTCATTTTAATTCATCTCCTGGAATAGTCCAGAGAGATTGTTTTGAAGGACTTTTACCTGTGCTTGATAGGTTAGCCACGGACTATAAGGAGTTTATACACGATTTTTATTTTGACAGAATTCTGTCTTTTTATATAAATGAATAAATTGAATCTCTGTAAAATGAATCTCTTTAAAGATCTAGTCCTTAGCTTTCCAATATTAAAAAATTAGCATGTACCAGAAGTCAAACTCAGGACCTTGCACTTGCCAGGCAGGTACTATGCCACTGGGCCTGAGAATTCCAGTTTTAAACTTGGATTTCAAGACTTTTCTGAAAGGTACATCTCAATAAATATATAATTTCATGTCCCCAACCAGTTTTTAAATCTCAAACTATGTGAAATAAGTTGGTTCTTTTTATATGATAGCTTTCTCGGTCTCTCATTTAGAATTAGACATTCTGGGTACTAGAATTGGATTACCAAGAGAGGGTCTGACTGTTAATTTCCACATAGAAGAAGGTATCCTCATTGAATCGTAGAACGTCCACTGATTTAGGTGGGGTGGAGTACCGAGCATTTTGTGCATATAATTCAGACATTAGAATATACTCTTAAATTCAGCATACTTTCTTAGAATGACCGTGGTGTTCCTGACTCCAGGGGTAGGTACTGAGGGTGTGGTACTGGAAGAAAAACCAACAACAGCGAGGTGTTCCAGAGTACTCAGTGTCAGAACAGAGCAGAACATGGAAGATCAGGACTCAGCTCTGTAAACAAGAATATGTTTCAAGTTACTAGACTTTAAATGCAAACATTGTTGAAATTGGCTTTGTGTTTACTTTTTTCCAAAGTACAAATGATTTGACAAGAACTGTCTCAGTTTTAAACTCAGAGGCAATAGGCATATCCCTCATCAGCCTTTCTTTAAAAAGCAGCGTGCTGTGTACCATGAGTTAAAATTACCTAATTTTCCATCATTTCTGGTGTCTTATTTCACAAGTGGATATAAAGATGACTTTTACATCCTGTTGGCTTTTGACAAGCATTATACATCAGAGAAAATTAAGTGTGGGGGGAAATTATATAAATTAAATTGAGAACCGTTTTCTCTTTTCCATAATAAAATGACTGCTCAAAGAATTCCATCTCAGGACTGTTGAAAGCTCACTGCAGTTTATGATATAACTGATAGAATCTGCATCCTTGGCCTTCCAACAACCTTTACACCAGCAGATGGTGGGCGTAAAGATGTCATTCATCATTTATTTACAATGAGCTTTATTTATTCTAGTGTCAACAGCCGCCCCAGGGAGTGGGTTATTGAATTCAAATGTGAAGCTCTGGGTTATTTTCTTCCTTTCAAATTTGTCTTCAGAGCTTAGTTGCTAGGCATCCATTCTGTGTTCTGATAATGATTCATGTATTGTGAAACCATTCAGTAAATTGGGTTGTCAGGGATTGCCAGAAAGGGTTAGGGGTCTTGTTTGGGGTTAGGGGGTGAGGATTCCCAGTAGCTTGAACTGTAGTAGTATTATGTAACTTTCTCCTAAAACTAGTGAATTTTATCACTATGCACTCCTTCCCTCCTTGCCTGTTTTGCACGTATAAGTAATATGAAATTATAAAGGACATCATTTTAAAGGAAATTTTCAACCATTTTTTTCTTCATAGGCAGGGCAAGAGTCCTTTCGTTCCATCACAAGGTCATATTACAGGGGTGCTGCAGGGGCTTTACTAGTATATGATATTACAAGGTGAGTACTTGCCAATTTTTCTTTTATTTTTTAAACTTTTAAACTTGTAATTAGTACATGTCTGCAGTGTATGACGATTACATTCGTCCTTGGTACACACAAGTTTTCTGTTTAAAGTACAGCTGCCAGTAATAAAAATAAAATTTTACTTTTATGTCCTGATTTGCTCACCTTTAAAACTACGTGTCTTGAATCAGATTTAAATGTACTGTGGAAATATGTGACTGAATTGTCTTTCTTAAAAAAGCATCCCAAATTGACAGTTTGGTAATATTACAATTTATTCATTGTAATTTTCTAAAATGTGAGTACATTTAATTTCTAAAAGGAAAATATCAGTGAACTCTAAACCGAGATACTGTACTTGAAATCTGTTCTCATTACATAAGTGGATATGGCTAAAAATGGTGATTGTGAATGGAATGTTATTATACAGTACTGAGAAATACTTTGTTTGTTTGTTTTTGCCTTTTTGAGACAGGGTCTCCATATGCAGTTCAGGCCGGCCTTGAGCTCACTTTGTAGCCCAGGCTGGTCTCGAACTCGCAACGATCCTCCTGTCTCAGCCTCCCAAGTGCTGAGATTGCAGGCATGTCGCCACCACGCCCAGCAAGAGAAATATTTTGAAAATAATCAGATTCTTACTTATTTGCAGGAGAGATACATTCAACCACTTGACAACCTGGTTAGAGGATGCCCGCCAGCATTCCAATTCCAACATGGTCATTATGCTTATTGGAAATAAAAGGTAAAAAGACTAATTTAGAGCTCACTTTGCATTACTCATGAGCACAGTAGATTACTATTTATGCGACTGTTTTTCTTGTACATTTGTCTAGAGGTAAATTACTGGTTTCTTAAATTTTAAAATTTTGGGCCAGGCGTGGTGGCTCACACTTGTTATCCCAGCATTTGGTGTTATCCCACCATCTTGCCCTGAGGCAAGAGGGTCGTTGCAAGTTCAAGACCAGCCTAGGCTACAAAGTCAGTTCGAGGCCAGCCTGAATTGTATAGCGAGACCCTGTCTCAAAAAGAAAATAAATAAATAAATAGATAAAATGGTGCAATTCTAAGGTACTTTTGGTTTTTAAAATATAGATGAGTTTTTAAAAAAATTATTATTATAACTCGAGATAGTTTTGTTCAAAGGTAGTCTTTGAAAAAAATAATCTGAAAGAGTTTTATCTGATTGCTAATTTAAAATAAAACTATTCATTGGGGAGTAGATAAATGTTAAGTGTTACTCAAATTTTTTAAAGTACTTTTCAGTGGAAATAAGTATCTCAAAATAATATTTCCCATTGTCATAACAGTGTGCATTACATCAATTAATACAATAGAGAGATTATTCAGGTGAATTTCTAAATGTCCTAAAACACCATTAATATTGTGTAGTAAACATTACATTAATAATTCAAGCTTACCTCCTCACCTTTACATTAGTGTTATTCTGTTTTTTAATCTGAGTATTACAGCAACCCCTTAGTTAAGGAACGCTTCTGTTTGCACTCAATTCATTTCTCAAACAAAAGCACCCAAAACAGTTTTGCTTGCATTCGTAAACTCCACATCAGATGACAAACACAACCACAGCCGTCTTCCTCAAAATCATAAAGCAAATGAAATTCAAGAATCAAGTTGTCACTGTATCTGTAACAAACAATTTTGTATGTTAAGCTTAAAGTGATAGTTCTTAAAACTAATCAATCTGAAAACAGTTGTTTTGTCTAGCTTTCCATAAACTTCCCAGAATGTGAAAACATTTTCAGTAATTTTGGTAGAAAAATGGTAACGAAACTATTTTCATTTATTTTTGTTTTGTTTTGTTTTCTTTCAGTACCAGCAATCGAACTCACGACCTTGCGCTTGCCAGGCAGGCACTGTGCCGCTGAGCTAAATCCCCAGCCCCACGAAACTATTTTTAAATGGTAGTCACAGAATACATTCTATAGGTTTATAAAATAGATATTGTTAAAAGGTAATGTGTTCAGAGAAGTAAAATCATGATTCTCATGTGATGATTAGAATGAGATATTGAGAAATAAGATACAAAGTTTTTATTTATCTCATTTAATTGAAAAGGAAACCAGTAAGATACTGCAGCCACTTCAAAACAGAACTAACATACCATACATTCAGTCAAGTAAAATCTGTAAAGTGAATGTGTAGATGATGAAAAATTGAATAATATTCACAAGGTGATAATTGTATTCCACAGGACATAGTCTACATTTCTGTGGATAGAGCTATTTGTATTATTAACTGTTTTCTGTAAGTTAATCTCTAGCTCTACAATTTTGGAAAATGTGTGGGGTGCAGAGATTATAACTCTGCACACATATATTAGGTAAACATGTCAGAACAGCAGCATAAGCTTTCACCTTAAGAAACTAGAAAGGTAATAGCATATTAAACCCAAGAGAAAAGAAGGAGATAATAAAGAGTAAACCAGTGAATCTAAAAGCTATTTCTGGAGAAGATAAATAAAATAGATACTAATCAGAAAAACACACACATTACCAATTACAGGAAACAAAAGGTGACATCACTACAAATCCTTAAGATATTAAAAGGATAAGAGAATATTGTGAACAGACTAAATGGAGATGTATACCATATTCATGGTTGGGAAAATTAAATATTATTAAGATATTAGTTCTTCCCAAATTTATCTAAAGATTAGTTATGATCCCAATCAAAATACCATATTTTTTTTTAAGAGGAAGTAACTATGGATAAACTGATTTCAGGATTTATGTGAAAATGCAAAGTGCATAGGCTAGCCAAAATAATTTTGTTGGGTTTTTTTTTGTTTTTTTTTTTTTTTTTTTTTTTTTTTTTGGTTTTTCTCCGGTACCGGGAACCGAACTCACGACCTTGCGCTTGCCAGGCAGGCACTTTGCCCCTGAGCTAAATCCCCAGCCCCTAGCCAAAATAATTTTGATAGAGAATAAATTTGGAGGATATACTGGTTTCACTAATTCTGACTTTAAGACTCATTAGGATATTGGCATGTATGTTGGTCAGCTTTCTGTGCCTGAGAAAAAATACTGAAGAAAAATCAACTTACAAGGAGGAAAGGTTTATGTTAGCTTACCATTCTAGAGGTTTTAGTTCATAGCAGTTTGGTCCCATCGCTTTTGGACCTTTGGTAGCACAGTACGTGATGGGAGAGGAAACTGCTCACTTCATGGTGGTCAGGTAGCAAAGAGAGAAAGAAGGACGGGGCCCCAAAGTCCCCTTCGAGGGCATAACCCCAGTGATCTAACTACCTTCCAACCAGGTCCTGCCTCCCAGTAGGACCATCAGCTGGATACAAAGCATTCAACATGTAAGCTTTTGGAGGCCATTTAAGATATAAACTATAACAGTGCAGACAGATCGATGAAACAGTAAGAAGTCCAAAAGCGGTTGCATATATATATGTAGTTAGTTAACTATTTGATATAGGTGCTAATTCAGTGGGGTAAGTCTGTAATCTTTTCAGTACAGAGTGCACAAGTTGAAGAGCTATGTATAAAAATGAACCCTACCTTCTAATTTATATAAAAATTGAGTTGTTCACATACCTAAATATAAGAGCTAAAACTATAAAACAAAATTCCAAAAGAAAACACAAACTCTTAGTGACCCTAGTTTGGTGAACATTTCTTAAATGAGACAGCAAAACTATTTTTAAAAATTAATAAATTACACTTGAACAAAATTAAACTTTCTTTAGAAGTGTAACATCCACCATACTACCTAATTTTGGTACAGCATTACAATGGAATACAACTCAGCAATAAAGAGCGATAACTAATGGATTGCAGTAACAAAATGAGTTGATGTTTACTATTAAGAAAATATTTACTTAAATGATATTTGCATTATAAAAAGCCAACTATTGATTATTTCTTTGTAACTAGAAGTATTATCTTAGCATTCACTCAAGGCTTTTCTTAGGTATTCTTCCTCATTTAAATCATCTCGCTTAACCTTTTATAAAAGGGAAAGAACAGAGAGAAGTCAGGTAATTATTATTGGATGAGGTGAATTAGTATAGACTTCAAAACAGAATGAGTAGTTTTTAATCCAGTGCATTTAACAATAGAGAGCACAGGATCTGAGAAGAGCAAACCTGGTCAAAGTGACTGATGACACCCTTTCTTACTGTGACATTTAAAATCGGATATACAAGAAAAAGGAAGCAGAGTTTTAAGAAGCAAAAGGTTTTTAAATTAAGGATATAAATATAAACACTAAAGAAAAGGCAGGGCATAAAATAAAAGAATGGTTTAGGAAAGAAAGATACATAAGTAATGAAAGCAACTTGAATGGGATTTACAGGGAATGTAGCCAAAGACAGCATTTTGATTTTATGTCTGGAAAGCTGAGGTGATCATTGTTTTTTGGAAAGCAGTGCTGTACTAGGTGTATATTCAAGTACAGAGACTCAGATTTTTATGTGACCTATATTAAGAAATACATCTTGACCTAGTAAATAAATTGCACATGTATTTATATATAGGTAACAAAAATTCCATGGATCAGTGGATGATACACTCTAATATTTCCATTCTGTTTCTTTAACAAATTCTGAGTATGACCTACTGAAATTATTTTACAATTCACTGAGTAATGACACAGTTTGAAAAATATTACCCTAGAAAAGCTTTAGGACCTCTACACAAAAAATATACATATACTATTCATTGTAATATTGTAATAATAGAAAATTACAAATAATCCTGCTTACCGGAGAAATAAAGAAGTTATGTTGTATATTTGTTCAGTAAAATATAGTACAGCATTAAAAAATTAAGAAACTAGATCTACATGTACTGTGAATAAATCTGCAAAACATGCTAACCAAAAATAACAAGCTGAGCCGGGCGTAATGAATGGCGCATGCCTGTAATCCTAGCACTGAGTTCCAGGCCAGTTTGAACTATGGTGAGACCCTGTCTCAAAAAACAAACAAATACAAAAAAAAACGAAGCTGTATAGCGTGAATTACATCTGAATTTTTTACAAACATGTCAAAAAACAAAACAAAATGAAGCTGTATAGCATGAATTACATCTGAATTTTTTACAGATGTGTTAAAAGAATACTGTTAGGGGCTGGGGATTTAGCTCAGCGGCAAAGCGCCTGCCTGGCAAGCGCAAGGTCGTGAGTTCGGTTCCCGGTACCGGAGAAAAACCAAAAAAAAAAAAAAAAAAAAGAATACTGTTTATGGTTGTAATATTGTGAAATGGTAAAGTTATCAAACTTTTACTGTAAAGTACACTGGAGAGAGACTGCTGCTTTTCCTTCAGCTTCACTGATCCATTTCTAAGATGGTAAAAATGAGTAGTATACTTTAATCCAAAATTTCTAGCTTAAGACTTCTGTCTGTCCCTACTGTCCAGTAGCTTTGCTTTACAACAAAACTAAGTATTTAACCAACTGAAATTAGTGATGTAGTTAATGTTTCTTTAGCACTTTGGATTTTACTGCATCATTTCCTGTTGTGGAATTGTGGGAGTTTGATGATAACTGTGAGGGCATGTGTGAGTGTGTGTGTGTGTGTGTGTTTGCCTACCTACTTGTTTTGCTGTGTGGAAGACTGAGGATTGATCCCAGGGGCACTGTACTACTAAGCTACATCACTAGCCCCCTCCCCTTCTAAAAAATTATTGAAATAGGGTCTCACTAAGTTGCTCAGGCAGGACTTGAACTTGTACTCTTCCATGTACCAGGCTGTAGTTTGGATTCTTATCACTTTAGTCTGGCCAGCGGATGGGACTAAAGTAATCCTACCCTTTCAGATTGTTATGTTCAGGCCAAATGTGGCAGATATTTATTATCCCAGCATTCTGGGAGGTTGAAGCAAGAAGATTGCAACTTTAAGTCCAGCCTGGATAGCTTTCCAAGACACTATCTCAAAATAAAAAAATATAGCTCAGTAGAAGAACCCCTCTGCAGTAGAAGTACCTACTGCAGAGGCAGGAATGTGTTTTTAGCAAGAGAATTTTCTTGCTAAAAAAAGTTGCCCACTATGTCCATAGAACAGGGTACTAGAGGCTCTCTTCAGAGCTGCTACTTTTGTCATTCTTTGACTCTAACTTGGAGTCTTACGCTAGACTGTTCATTCTTTGAAAGTAAGCAATATTTTCCAAACATTTGGCCCCTATGATGCCCAGAATAATGTACTTAATTACCATGTGTTAAAAGAATGATCATCATGACTCTGAATCCTGTGGTTTGCTTTCTGCAAATGCTTCTATTTGTATATACTGGCTAATAACATGACCCTTTCTCTCCCATGTGTAGTGATTTAGAATCTAGAAGAGAAGTGAAAAAAGAAGAAGGTGAAGCTTTTGCACGAGAGCATGGCCTTATCTTCATGGAAACTTCAGCTAAGACTGCTTCCAATGTAGAAGAGGTAAATAATAGGCCCTTTTGAATGTTCGTCCTCTTTTTACTTAATGAAAATGTTTCATATAGCCTAACATTTATTTATTGGTGTTAGTATTTATTTCATATGTTATTACTCTGTGGTAGTTTTTGAATATCATAAATTAGAAAAATTCCTACCCTTTGAAGTGCCTTTTAATATTAATCTATCAGACTCTTAAATTATAGTCTTCTCTTAAAGCCTGTATGCATCAACACATATATGTATGTATATTATTACTATGTAACATTATACGAAGCATGAGAATTTTGCTGCCTTTAATAGAAGAAATGCACGTCTCAATCATTTGTATTTATTAATCTGAACTATTGTGTATTTTCTGAACATGACATGTTCTTTTGTTCTGTATGTATTTGGATATGGTGTTCACGCATAATGATTAGACAGTTAATCTTCTCTAAGATAAATAGAAAAGAGATGTTTTATCAAAAGTAGAAGTAAGGTTAAGAAAACTAGTTTCCTCAAAGCAGTGCTTAATTTCCACCTTCTGGTTAAGAACAGCTTATAAAAGCAGCTGTGGAAAGGAGTTCTAGAAAACAAATGTTTGAAAAATTTCCTTGTAAGAATTAGTAGATGATGGGATTCAAGGCCACATCTAGCACTGTGCCTTCAGCATAGTAAATACTCAGTACTTGTTTACTAAGAATGATACTTGGAGCTCTTCTAATTAATTATTGAGACCTGAAATCAACTATAATTGTTCTTCAACACTGGTATTTTCACTGAAGAATTGTTTCTTAGGTAAAATATTATACTCATCTGTACTGAATGAGATATTCTTTGATTCTGTTAAATTTATTTCTGCCAGGCTCTAGTTAATGTTTGCCAAAAATTATAGCTTGATAACATACCATAGTTTTTTCACTTCCAAGCATGCTCAAGAAGAAATCCACTCCATGCATTGGTCCAACTTCAATTAAATATATAAAGCCACGTGTTTCAGAGAGGTGCTCCTCTTAGAGGTGTTGCATATACAATCATACAGGCCATATCCTTACTAATTATTAATAGTGTACATTTTTTTAAGAACCATAAATTCAAAATTGTCTGCATTTTTAAAAATACATGAAGTCAGATAATGAAGTATTAACCAAAGGAAAATCTTTCATTTCTAATTCTGTCTCTAATACCTTTGTGTTAGGTTTTTTTTTTTTCTTTTTTGAGACAGGGTGTTGCTGTGAAGTTCAGGCTGGCCTTGACCTCACTTTGTAGCCCATGCTGGGCTCGAACTTGCAACAATCCTCCTACCTTAGCCTCCCAAGTGCTGGGATGACAGGTGTGCACCACCATGCCCAGCTTTGTTAGTTTTTCTTAACCGTAGTTGTATATCTTTATAAGCAGTAAATTACCGTCAGCCTTTTGGCTAAACATTTAAATTAATGTAGTACTACTCCATGAATGTTTTCACAGCAGTTATTACAAAAATTCTATTGTTTTAAAAAAAAAAAATGTGTTTAAATTTGAACTTGACAGGAATTCATCTCACTCATGAGAGAATATCATTTTATTTAACAGTGAAAATGGATTTGCCTGTCAAAAGCCAAAAATATTAAAAAAATCTGACATTTAATTTTTAAAGGATCCATAGAAAGCATTACATAATTACCTATAGATAAGCATTGAAGTATTTCAAGATGGAGGACTTGTTCTAAAAATCAAACTTCGACCTCTGAATGTGATTTAAGATTAAACATGAGCAGTAGTCAAAAAAACTGATTCTGGGAAGATGGAGGAGCCTTCCTTTTCCTCATTTCTCCTGCTGAGTACAGCTGAAACACTGGATATTACGTACAAACCGAGTAGAGAAGAAAGTTGGAAAGAAGGCAGACTATCTATAGGTCTTGGTACCTGAAGAATCACACAACATTAATTTGCCTTGGTTTTTATTTTTGTCTCATACCCTTGAATGAGTGCTAGAGAATCTAGAAAGACCAAGGAACAGAAAAGAAGAAAAGCTTGCTCTAGCCAGAGAAGCAGGAAAGGGGCGTCCTGATAAGATGGTACTGAACAATTCTACTGAATACAAGCATCACAGGAAAACCTGAAGTGCCACATCCAGCTAGGCTGCAAGGTTTTCCTACCATCTCCTGTGCCTGGTAGTCATCACCACCATTACCAGTTCCCTTTACAGTGATGTCAGAGAAAGCCAGTTTAAGCAGAAGTTCAAATAAAATCCAGTCTCAGAACTCACCAAGGTTTTAATGGAAAAAAACCTCCTATGTACCCCAAACCAGGATGATCTCAAATTGAATGAAAAAAAGGTAAGAATTGACAACAATGAGATGACATAGATACCAGAATTATCAAATGAAAATTTTAAAGCAGCTATCGTAAAAACACCTCAGTGGACAATTACAAACATGCTAGAAGTGAAAAATAAGTCTCAGTAAGCAAAAGTTTCAACTACAGATGTATAAGAGGCAAGTTGTAGTGTAGACAAGGCCAAGTTTGAGAACCATACCACAAATCCTGAAAATGTCACAGAAGTAGCATCAAGAAACTCTAATCACAGAGATAAGGGTTTCTTGAGGTGCATTCCTAAGGAAACATGCTGAGGCTCTGGAGTCCTTCATAATTAATGCCCAAGGGCATTAAGCCTAAGATCATAAAGTATGTGAGCTATAGATTTAGTTAGCTTGTCTACATCACCCGTTCCAGAGTTGAGAAGTACTCCTACATGCATAGCCAAGTATCTCAGCTCTTACCTTCAGCTCCAACTTTGGCTCCCAGCAGTCCCTAGACTCCATAATAAAGCATCTGTCTACCAACTTGAGGATGGCACTGGCATAGCCCCTGAACTATCATCTGAATAGGCTGGTGATCCTCCTCTGAACACAATACAAAGCTGCCGTTTGTTTGTATAAATAAACCTGAGGCAGGACACCCCCCCACACTTTAAAAAAAAAAAAGTTAGAACTGAAAAATACAATAATTGAAATTAAAAACTCAAGTGATAAGCTCAGCAGCAAAGGGGAACACAGGAAAGAATAGTGAACTAGAGATAATAAAACAGTAAAAACTACTCAGTCTAAACTGCAGAGAAGGAATTATGGTGTGGCTCAGTTGCAAGATCATTTTCCTAGTGTTCAGAAACTCCTGGTTTTGATCCCCAGTATTGTAAAATACAAAAATATCCTGTAGAGAGAAAAGAGATGGATGCTGTATTATAACATGCATATTATGTGATGTGTCATCGGTCTTAGAAGGACAAGAGAAAAAGAAGCCTTGGAAAAAATACTCAGACGTATGAACTGGAAACTTCCTAGATGTAGTTAACAACAAAGGAAAAGGAGGTACCTACCAATTCAAGTTGAGCCAACCCCAGACAGGGTAAACCCAAATAAATCCACAACAAAACAAATCTCTATATGGTCAAATGTCTGAAAGAGAAAGAGAAAAAAAATAATAATTTATCAGATATTTCATCAAAAACCTTGGAGGCCAGATGGAAGTGGTTCAGCATTTTTCGAGAGCTGGAAGGAAAGAAATTGTCAGCTCAGAACTCCATACTTTGCAGTGGATCTTTCAGTAATGAAGGAGAAACCACAGCATTATCAAGTAAAGAAAAATTGTAAGAATTTGTTGATAGCAAAACATATGATAGCAAACCATCTCATATACCATATGAGAACCACTAAAGGAAATTAGTACTGTGGTTTGAACCAGCAGTGGTGTATGCATGACGTCCATCCAGAGGCTTATACCACTGGTGATCAAGCTACTAGGAAGCAAGATACGAATTACAGACCCATCATGAACGTGCTAATGGAAATGAAATAGTGAAAGAAATCTTGGAACACTGTACTAGAAAAAATAAGTAAATAAAATGTAGACAAATTTTAATTCCTAATTATGCCCTGCAGTTGAAGCAAAAGTTGTATCAATGTCTGATGTGATGTGCTTGTAGGTATTCATAGAGAGAAATACTATAAACCGTAGAGGATAAAGAGATGTCAGGAGAAGTCAAGTTTTACACTTCATTTGGTTTGTTAAAGTGACAACAGTAGCCAGACGTGGCACTATAATTCTAGTGCTCAGGAAGTTGAGGTAGGAGGATCACCTAGAGTTCAAGGCCAGATAAAACTACATAGCAAGACTCTCTCAGTCAATCTATAAATGTTGTAGACTGTGGTAAGATACATCTGTGTGTGCATGTGCACATGTACACTTGCAGAATATGTGGAGCTACTACTTAAAAAGCTGTCCTAAGAGATTTGACTATGAAAAACAGTAGACAAATCAATTAGGAACACTAACAAATGTTTAACCCACAAGAAAGCAGGGGAAAAGAAACAAAAAGTAAAAGGATAAACTTAAGTTTTCAGTTATAGCCAGGTGTGGTGGTGCACGCCTGTAATCCCAGCACTTGGGAAGCTGAGGCAGGAGGATCATTGTGAGTTTGAGGCCAGCCTGAACTGCATAACGAGACCCTGTCTCAAAAAGACCAAAAAAAAAAATTCAGTTGTCACATGTAATATAAATTATCTAATTACACCAATCAAAAGGCACATTGGCAGAAGATTAGATAAAGTAACTCAGCCATAAAATACTTACAAGAAATTCATGTCAAATATAGCACTACAGGCAGGTTGGAAATAAAATGATGGGAAAAGATAATATTGTACAAACATTAATCCAAAGAAAGGGCTAGCTATATTGATTTCAAAGTATGGTTAAGGGGAAAAAAAAAAATAGTAACTTATTGCATAATGGTAAAAGAATCAGTTCACCAGGAAGATATGAGAGTCCTAAATGTTTATGTACCAGATACAGAGCTGTGAGATACATGAAACAAAAACTAATAGAATTGAAAGGAGAAATAGGCAAGTTCAAAATTATTTCTGGATACTTTATTAGCTATTAGAACATGTACCAAGGCTCAGGCTGCACCCTGAGCCAATGAAAACCTCAGAAGATATAGAAGTATTTAAAGTCATGCACAATATATTCTCCAGTCTCAGTGGACT